ATCTAGACAGAAGAGTTATGCGGATCGGAAGGTTCGTGATGTTGCATTCATGGTTTGTGAGCGGGTATTGCTCCGAGTTTCGCCTATGAAGGGTGTAATAAGGTTCGGGAAGAAGGGCAAGTTGAGCCCTAGGTCTATTGGGCCTTTTAAGATTCTTGAGAGAGTTAGAGAGATGACTTACAAACTTGCACTACCACTTAGTCTCTCTGCGGTTCATCCGGTATTCCATGTTTCCATGCTTCAGAAATATCACGGCGATCCGTCTCATGTGTTAGACTTCAGTTCGGTTCAATTGGACAAGGATCTATCTTATGTCAAGGAACCAGTGGCTATTTTGGATAGGCAGGTTCGAAAGCTGAGGTCAAAGAACATTGCTTCCGTGAAGGTTCAATGAAGGGGTTATCCGGTCGAAGAGGCGACTTGGGAGACCAAGCATGATATGCGCAGCTGTTATCAACACTTATTCACCAGCTTAGGTATCTTTTCTAACTCCGTTCGAGGACGAACGTTTTGTTTTAGAGGTGGAGAATGTGATGACCCAAAATGTCATTTTTAATTTAATAATTAATTCTGTGTTCTAAGACCTCGAAAAGTACTATTTATCATTACTCGACTTGCGTGCGCAGTTCGTAAAATTTTTCGGAAAGTTTTTATGCGAAAAATGAATTAAAATATAAATTAGAGCTTTAAAACTCAACTGAGTTGACCTTGGTCAATATTTTTAGCAAACGAACTCGGATTAGTATTTTGACAGTTTCGGTAGGTCCTTATCGTGATTTGGGACTTGGGCGTATGCCCAGAATCAAATTCTGAGGTCCCTAGCCCGAGATATGGAATTTTGAAGAAAAATTAAAAGTTTAAATTTAAATAGTGACCGGATGTCGAATTATATGCAAACAACCCCGGAATAGAATTTTGATGATTCCAACAGCTCCGTATGGTGATTTTGGACTTAGGAGCGTGATCAGAATTTTATTTGAAAGTCCGTAGTGAAATTAGGCTTGAAATGGCTAAAATTATAATTTAAGTTTGACCGGGGAGTTGACCTTTTGATATCGGGGTCGGAATCCAGTTTTTAACAGCTCCGTTATGTTATTTATGACTTGTGTACAAAATTTGAGGCCAATCAGACTTGATTTGATAGGTTTCGACATCGAATGTAGAAGTTGGAAATTCTTAAGATTTATTAGGCTTGAATCTATGTGTGATTTGTGCTTTTAGTGTTGTTGGATGTGATTTGAAGACTCGACTAAGTTCGTATGATGATTTAGGACTTGTTGGTATACCCCGAGTGCGATCCGGATCGAAATCGGATAAATTTTTGGACTTAGGCAAATTCTAAAATTTGCAGCTTCTGGTGTCATCGCACCTGCGGAGGGACTGACCGCAGGTGCGGACTCGCACAAGCGAGCTGTGGCTCGCAGAAGCGGACGAAGGGCTGCCCAGTTGGAGCCGCAGATGCGGCTCATGTTGTGCAGAAGCGCTTGCGCAGAAGCAAGAGGAAGGGCGCAGGTGCGATGGAATTTTCTGCACCTACGAAGGCGCAAATGCGGTCTAAAGCTCGCAGAAGCGAAGGCAGCTGGGCTGAGCAATTTTTGCAGATGCGGTATTTCACCGCAGATGCGGGACCGCAGGTGCGAGAATTTTGTCTGCAGGTGCGAAAGCACTAACGAGATTACAAAAACAGAGGGGTTTCGATATTTTTGTCATTTGGACATTTTCAACACAGTTTTGGGCGATTTTTCAGAGAGAATTCACGTGAAAACATGAGGTAAGTCACATGTGATCATTGTTAGTCAATTATATTGGATTATCATTGAATATTTCGAATAGATTACATGTTTTTGAGGTGAAATTAGAGGATTTGGGCCTAAGAATTTCAAAATGAGAATTTGAGATTTGAAGGTCAAGTTGATGTTGGATTTTTGTAAAAATGGTATGGTTGGACTCGTAGTTGAATGGGCGTTCATATTTCGTAACTTTCGCTGGATTTCGAGATGTCCATTTTTGAATTAATTTCGGATTTTATTGAAAAATATAGTATTTTCTTATGGAATTGATTCTATAATTTTTGTTGACTGTGTCGAATTAATTATGACTAGATACGAGTCGATCGGAATCGAAAAATCGAGGAAAAAGCATACTACTTGGTTAAATTGGAGCAAGTCGAGGTAAGTGACTTGTCTAACCTTGTGTGGGAGAAATTTTCCCTAGAATTGATATTAATGTGATTATTGAAATGTGTTGAAGGTCGTGTACACGAGGTGACGAGTGTGTACACGGGCTAAATGTGAAATATTATATTTTTAAATTGTGTAGATCATTGTTGCGCATTTATTAAATTATTTTATCTTGTTATATTCTTTATCATTGATCTGGGTTATATACCTTAAATTTGTTTGACCTTTTCCTACTAATTGTTATACCTGTTTAGTTGGAACTTGGTTTCTTTTATTCTGTGCATTACTTGAAGGGTGATTTTCTTTAAATTAAACATTATTAATATGAACTATTTGACATTTTAAATTTGATATTGAAGCAACGTATTAAAGATTTTGAAATATTATTTTTCTGAATTATTTATTCTTGAATATTTTGTAAGATATTTATACTCATTGTGATGGAGCCGTGAGCTCTTTATTGTGGAAAAATATTATTGATGATTTATTTTGGCATGAGCCATGAGCTCATTATTGTGGAAAAATATTGTTGTTGAATTATTTTGGCAAGTTACATTATTTGAGCACTTGAGGTGTAAATTGTGATATAATGTGATATTGATACGCATGCGGTGGTATAAGGTCTGGGTATTGAAACGCATGCGGTGAGATAAGGGTGGCTTGATACGCGTGGCTAGTAGAGGGAACTACTAGAAGTCATGCGGTGTGATAAGGATGACTAAAATGCAGGATGTTATTTCGGAAAAAAATATTTTCTTTCAAATAAATTGTAAAGGCTCCCGCGGTGAGATAAGGAAATGCTCAATTGTGAATTTATTTATGATTTGGGACAACGAGACGGTACCTCGAGAGTGCCCTTATTGATATTGATTTATGGCCGCAGTTGCCTTGATTATTTGTTATGATTTTCTTAAAGTTGAAAGGAAATTCGGTTTTTGTTTCCACGAGATATTATTTGAAATTCTGTTTTATTTTCACGAGATATTATTTGCCATTATTTTGCTTAATTAAATGGTGACACACTACTTGATTCATTTCCAATGTTATTTTATTTTACTATATTGTTAAACATTTACCATGCCATTATTATATTCCAGTAGGGCCTCACCTGACCTCGTCACTACTCTACCGAGGTTAGGCTTGGCACTTACTGGGTACCGCTGTGGTGTACTCATACTACACTTCTGCACATCTTTTTGTGCAGATCCAAGTACATTTTACTAGTCTAGACGTCAGTGAGTTACCTGCGCACAGAGACTTTGAGGTATATCTGTCAGCGTCCGCAGACTCCGGAGTCCCCTTCTATCATTTTTATGTTGCTTCCTTATTTTTTTTAGACCTTGATATACAGAGATATTGAGAATAAATTCTTAGAAGCTTGTGACTTATTTCTACCGGGTTTTGGGAGTTGAAATTGTTTGAATTGTAGTTTATTTATTTCATATACTCTTTATTATTATTCCGCATTGATAGACTTACCTAGTCTTAGAAACTAGGTGTCATCACGACATCCTACGGAGGGAATTTGAGGCCGTGACAGCTTTTTAGCACGCCAATGAGGGAAGAGGATATTGAATCCTCTTTATTGAAAATTATACTTCACAAATAAATAGGCCAACAGTAAAAAAAATTATTTCTTGAATCCCTTTATATAAGTTTTTTCAACTCTATTATTGCTCATACTCGGTCAAACATCATTATCTCCAATAATAGTGAGCAATAGTAACTAAACTGAAGCCAGTAGCTTTAGTCCAATTTGACCACTTCAATACTTTTAATTCAAATTATACATTTACAATAAAAGATTCAGTAAATACATATAAAAATTAAATTCAAAATCCCAGTATGAATATCTAATATTACCCTCCTAAAATAAAAAAAAAGGAAAACTTGGTGGACAAAGTATTCCGCGTTCACGTCGGAAATGATTGCATCCCAAGAGGATGTGATATAGGTAGTCTATTCGGATGCAACTATCAGTAGCTGATTTCACGGTTAGAATCGTGACCCAGAGGCGGATCCAAATGCAAGATGATGGGTGCAAGCGGCGGATCCAGGAGTTGAAGGTCGCGGGTGTACTTTTGGATTCAATCAAAATCTGCTTTGTATATAGGGTGTCCATTACTAATATATCACTATTTTCTAAACACATGTACGCATATACATGAATTTTTTGCCGAATCTGACGGGTGCTCGTGACCCCTCTCTGTATAATATAGGTCCGTCTCTCCTGGGTGCACTATTATGAAGAGGTGAATTTAGAATTTATATTTGACGAATTTAACTTTAATTTTTTACCATGAATTCACTATACTTTTGAAATTATAGGTTCAAATTATATTCTTTTTGAAATTTTAATGATTTTTCCTTAAACTCATACCCTTAAGCTACCTACGCCCCTGCCGTGACCTATATATAACTCATAATATTCAAATTGTGATGCACCTCTAAAGCTAATAACCCTAATAAAGCATGCATTTGGTGAGCAGAAAATAGGAGGAGCTATATTCAGATAAGGACACTACCTAAGTGAAATAAAGAAAACATTGCATAGTACTACACGAAAGAAGGTACGCAAACAACTTTTTAACCAGAAAAACAGAAGGAAACAAAAGAAACATTGGCTGACGCGTGGCACAACAGGGAGGGAAGAGCCAAATGAGAGCGATTGCCATGCAAACACCTGTCAAATACGCGTCAATTCCTACATGCATTGCCCAAGTTTCCTATCTTAGTATTGGGTTTGAACTTCTCATATTTCTATTCTAGCCTTGTTTCAGTCCTTTTGCTTACGCCTTCCAAATGGAACCCACNATATATATTTCTTGGTTGTGTTCTTTGTTCTTCTTCTTACACGAATCTTGTCTTTATCAACTTATGTATATATATAAGTAATGGCTGCTATGGGTTTTTAGCTGCTTTTATCACCGCTTTTGCATATGACATCTTCTTAAGAGTCTGAAATTAGCTTGGTGAAGCTCTTAGCTAGCTGAAAAACAGTCAAGAAAAGGTACTGTCTATTTTCTTGATTTTATTAAGCTTTGTAGTTTTGATTTTCTTAACTTTTTCCATTAGCTAAGCTTGTTGAGTTAAGATCTGAAACTCCCAACACTATGTTTGATACTCTGTGTGTGTGTGTTTTGGGTGAGGATGGGGGGCCCCGGGGGGCCCCGGGGGGGGGGGGTTGCTCTATGTTAAGAGTGAAAGGTTATAGGGTTTTGCTTGAGTTGCAAGATTGTGAACTAATATCATGCCTCTTGTCACTTTCATTGTAAAACTAACAATTCATTTATATTATTTTTTGACTTATGTTCTCTCTTTCTTTGTCCCTCTATCTATACATTTATTTATTTTTTCCCATTTATGGTAGGGTAGATTCTCTCTTTGTCTATCTGTCTTCCACTTTACATCTTGTTTATTAGTGTATGAATTAGTTAGGACTAAACAATTGAAGAAAAAGTGTTGTGTTTAGATCTGCCCGATAAAAATTCATTAAACAAAAGTGGAAAGTTTCCAAGGCATTCTAAGCCCACATTCCAAAAAAATATGTTCCTGTTTTAGTAATACCTTTTGACAAAGTCCATGTGTTGCTTTTGAGTGTAACAATCCCTTTTTGTTTTAAGCTATTTCCTTCGTAATCTTGATTGAAATCCTAGTCAATAACGATAACAAACAAATTGGGGTCGGCCATGAATTCATCTTATAATATGTTTGTCCCGTCTTTGTCGTCAGTATGGTAAAGACACTTGGTAAAATATACACGTAGCTTAGTTTTCAATTGTATCACTTAGTATAATTTAATCTTTTGAAAATGTTATTTGTCCTCCTTACTTGTTCTTCTTAGGTGACGTGATAATTTAAAGAAGATTGCACTATCAGTATAGAAGTTAAACCTATAACACTATTGTCGCGCTTCCATCGACCTATATTTAAGTTGTCTTTGGAGTCTTCTGTTTTCTTAATGTGTGTGTTTGTGTATATTTTATTTGGACATAGAAGTTTGACTTTGCTTTATTGACACTTAACCTTTGAGCATAGGGGCCTCTTAGGCTCCTACGTTATTTATTTTTCGGGCATTCGAAGCCCACATGCCAAAAAAATATGTTCCTGTTTTAGTAGTGCCTTTTGATTATAGTAGAAATGGCATGAGATAGCCATTTTTTAACATGGTATTTAGTTTTTTTTCAGTATTTTTAATGCTGAGCAAAAATAGCCACTATTCTATTAAAATTAATACGAAAAGATGTTTTTGTCCTTTCTTCATGAGTCCTTAATATTTACACTGTACATATGAAGTTAAGGACGCCATGTCCTTAACATTTACACTGCACATATGAAGTTAAGAACATAATGTCCTAAAGTTTAACAACGGAAGGTGCAAATATCGAACATTTTGTCCTTAATATTTACACTAGCATTCATGAAATTAAGGATACCATGTCCTTAATATTTACACAACACTCATAAAGTTAAGGATACTATGTCCTTAACATTTACACTGCACACATGAGGTTAAGGACACCATGTCCTTAACATTTACACTGCACACATAAAGTTAAGGACATTAGGTTCTAAAGTTTAACAACAGAAGGTGCAAATACAAGTTAAGGACATTATGTCCTTAACATTTACACTGCTCACATGAAGTTAAGGACGCCATGTCCTTAACATTTACACTGTACATATGAAGTTAAGGACATGATGTCCTAAAGCTTAACAACGGAAAGTGAAAATACAAGACACTTTGTCCTTAATATTTACACAGCATTCATGAAGTTAAGGACACTATATCCTTAATATTTACACAGCACCCATGTCTAACAAAAGGGTATTTTCGTCCGGGCGGGTAAAAAATTATTAAGCACTGATTAAAAAGTAAATACATTTTAAACAGTGGCTAAAGAGTAAAAACATCTCTAGTTAGTGGCTAACCGTGAACTCCCATTTATTATACCCACAAAGTCCATTTGTTGCTTTTGAAAGTGAAAATCCCCTTTTCCTCCGAGTTAGTGACTCTTGTTTTAAGCTATATCTTGATTGAAATTCTAGCCAAAATTTGTATAAATCGTTAGTCTTTAAAATATATGCGTACCATCGTTTTTAATCGTATTATTGATGGTATAAATGATCTTTTACATCATCGGTACAATTTAACCTTTTGAAAATGTTATTGTCATCGGTATAGTATAAGTGTATAGAAGTTAAACCAGTAACGACTATTGTAGCGTTTCAATTGACCTGTATTTAAGTTGTCGTTGGAGTCTTCTGTTTTCTTAATATGTGTGTGTGTATTTTATTTGGACATAGAAGTTTGACTTACTTTTGAACATAGGGGCCTCTTAGGCTCCTTATGTTATTTATATTTATTTTTTGGGGAGGGGGAGTTGAAGTAGGGGCTTGATGTTCAAAACCATGGATCTTTAAAGGCAAGGAGAAATGAATTATTATTAATTTTCTATTTACCATCACGGAAAAGTGGACTATATATAATCGATTTTTTCTTAAATTATTGGGTGGGTATACGCCAAATTTTAAGTGTAAAATTTACCATTGTGTAACTTTGCATTGTTTGAGTTTGATATAAGAATACTTCATTTGGAGCTTTACAATTTTACAAGTATTAGTATTTCTGTTGTTCAAGAGTTTGATACAAGACATTTCAGGTATAGTTGATCAACGCATAAAGGCGTCGTGAACAAGTAAAAAAGACAAGTTTAATTTGGAAACACAGTTTGAAGAGAAATCACAAAATGGGCGTACCAGAATCGGAGATGGTGTCACAAGGTGAGGTTGAATCACCATTGCAACCAGATCAAAACCAGCACAAGAACCATCAGTTCCCGTCCCTCGGTAGACAAGCATCGATCTACTCCCTCACTCTCGACGAATTCCAACACACCCTTTGTGAAAGTGGCAAGAATTTCGGGTCGATGAATATGGATGAATTCCTTAACAGCATTTGGACTGCTGAAGAAAATCAAGCCCATGCCCATGCCCACGCCGCGCATGCGCACTCGAACGCGCATTCTCATGGTCATAGCCAGGCACCAAGTACAGGGGAAGCAACTAGCACACCACATTTTGCGATAGGACAGAGCAATGTTTCAATGGAGAAAGCTATTGCCAAGCAGCCAAGCTTGCCAAGACAGGGTTCTCTTACGCTTCCGGAACCTTTGTGTCGAAAAACTGTGGATGAAGTTTGGTCAGAAATTCATAAGAGCCAAAAAGAGCAACATCAGAATAATGGGGGCAGTGTCCAGGACACGGGTAATTCCACTCAACGACAGGTCACATTTGGTGAAATGACACTCGAGGATTTCTTGGTGAAAGCAGGGGTAGTACGCGAACAGGAGAATGCAGCCGTCCCTGCACCTCCTCAACAGCAATCATATATGATGTATCAAAACAGCAACAATCCCGCTATGGCCACTATGGCTCGGCCTGTTATTGGCGTAGGTGGAGTCACGGGCGGTGTTGGAGTTGGCATTCCTAGCTATCCGCCACTTCCTCAGAGCGGGGTGGTCGAGGCCCCTGTGTACCCCGTAAGTATGAAACGGGGTGGCGGATTCCCACAACAGCCGACGGCCGTTTATGGTGGGAGAATGGGGAATGGTGGCGGGGTCGGGTATGGGCAAGTACAAGGGGTGGCGGGGATGGGGTCGCCACTAAGTCCAGTATCGTCGGATGGATTATGCGTTAATCAAGTCGATAGCGGGGGACAATATGGGTTGGAAATGGGAATGAGAGGAGGAAGAAAACGCATAATAGACGGTCCGGTAGAGAAAGTGGTGGAAAGGAGGCAAAGGAGAATGATCAAGAATAGAGAATCAGCAGCAAGATCAAGAGCAAGAAAGCAGGTAAGTCTTTCCCCTAAATCTCGCTCGCTACGTATTCGTATTCGTTTGTCTATTTGACAATAAATACTTGTTGGTGCAGGCTTACACAGTAGAACTTGAGGCAGAACTGAACCAGCTAAAAGAAGAGAATGCACATCTAAAACAGGCCCTGGTAGTAAATATATTAGCAGAAATGTCCTTAATTTTGGAGTATGGTTTTGTCCATTCACACTGAATTATAGTAACCTATATATCTTTATTTTAATACAGTGGTAGAATTCTATCATGAACTTGTATAAAAGTTTTCTTGTTTTCTTTTTTCCGTTTGAACCTGCAGGTGGAGCTCGAGAGGAAAAGGAAACAACAGGTAATTCCAACTAGTCGCACGTTATTATAGGTTTTTGTCAAATTTATTAACTTTAAAACTTGTTATGGTACAGTACTTTGATGAAGTGAAAATGAAAGTGCAAACGAAAGCGCAAAAGGCGAATGACAAATTGAGAGGTATGAGGAGGAGCTTGAGTTGCCCTTAGTGACAGAAGTACCTCATCAGTAGATATGAACACGAGATATAGTAGAATGACTGGCGAAGAGCAAATGTTCCGTTCCCTTTTGCTCGCGAGAGATCAATGGTTCTTGCAGTTATTTCTCATGTTCTTAATAACCATGTAATGGCGTCAAGGTAAGGCGGAAAGGTACGTGCACACAGAGAAGCTTGCAAGACCAGATGTTGTAGTCTTTTGACTTGCAAATGTTTGATTTCAAGCAGATTTAGTACTTAGTAGTTAGTAACTAAAGATTGAGTGTGTGTGTAGTTAGTGAGTTTTAGCTTTCTTGAGTTACAGAATATGTATACAAATTCACTTGAGCTAAAACACAACTGTAACAATCAAGAAGAGGTTCTATGGTTGATAAGACAACTACTAATAGTTTATTTCTTTGCGAGTTACTGCTTAAAAGTCTCGGGATTAAAGGTCGAAGCCTGTAACATAACTTATCGACAGTTTGTGTTTGCGAGTACTAAATCAAAGAATATGGTGTGTGTTTTACATACACAATGTTTATCAATTTTTCAATTGGGCAATAATTTATTGTCAGAACCAAAAGGGCAATTCGGTGAGCATTTTCGGAGAAGAGACGCACCCGAAAGGGTTGTGATGTAGGGGTTTACTCTGATACAAGCATCATTGACTGATTTTACGGTTCGAATTTGTGACCTAGATTTTCTTGAGAATTAGCCCAACTGATTTTTTTTTTTAAAAATGTCAAAATATAGAAAAATAAGTTTTTTTTTAACTTTGCTTATAAAAGATAACTATAATCTACATATATATCTATACTATATTAAAAGTACGAAGGCCGTTAGTGAAATGTCGTTCGTCTTTTTTAAGACTGTTTCCAATAGACCCTCGGAATCCTTCCCTCCAAAAACTCCCCACCTTGTTCTTGGGGTGACTCGAACTCACAATCTCTTGGTTGGAAGTGGAGGTTACTTACCATCAGAGCAACCCCTCTTGTCAAAATAGTAAATTAATTATTTTCCTAATATCTGAAAAAAATTACTTAATTAGTTTCCTAAAATTTTAGGACTCCAAAATCAATTAAATTTTATGTCTCCAATCCTTCCTTATTTGAGCTATGTAATATAACACATTATTTTGTACACTTCATTAATATTAAAATCTTTGGATGGAGCACTTTAAATTCTTTTAAGTCACATTTGGAAACGTATGAGCACTCTGGAGTCCTTTTTTTAAATTCTACTATAAATATTTTAGGCAAAAGATTCGTTAAGTATTTAGGTTATAATCTTTGCCTTTCAATCCTTTTATATTTAGGAGCCTTTTTAATATATGTTTGGCTAAAAGAAAAGGAGGACGAGGGTGTGAATCGCCAAAAGAAAAAAAAATACATATACCAAATTATTTCTCTTAGGTAAAATATGTGATAATTTATTTTTATTATATTATACTGTCAAAAATAATAGTAAAAGTCATTTATTTCCTCCTCTATCTATCTATCTATCTCAATATCTATTCTATATCTATCTATACTATATTAAAAACACGAAGAACCTTAGCGAAATGTCGTTCGCCTTTTTTATCCTTTAAGAATAGATTTCACACTAGATAAAATAGTCATTTAATAATATTTTTAATATTTAAGACTTTCAAATTAATTGAAAAATTTGACCATAATATCTTTCTTTATTTAAAAGATGTAAAAACTCCTAATATTTAGGAATTTAGAATCCACCAAAATATTACTTATATAAATCCCTTGCCTCATACGAATTAGCAAGAACTTCTAATACCTTTCAAACTTCTAATTCTTTGAAATATTGTGTCCTATACATAAGGTTTTGTAAGGAATTTAAAGTTTTGTAGCCATACACGTTGAACCTCCTATTCCCTTTATATAACGGATCACGTTTTTGTTTAAACTGCCACATCTATTGTTGGGTTATCAAATTTTCTACAGGTAACTTAATTTTCTTCATTGCATGAGTTCTCTCTTAAAATTTAATACATACATCTATTTCAATCGAGAATAAACTATTAGATCTTGCATATCTTCTTGCTTTAGTTGCATTATTTATTTGTTTTGATATGACGTTAGTGAATTATTTATAATATGCTCTAATGATTGTCGCACTCATAGAATGTAATCAATCTTTCTATAGGTAATTTAATTTCTTTTATCAATTCAAATACCTATCCTTTGCCGATAGCTCCGCCCATATAATTATGCTGCTCATTGAGTTTGACATGTGATATTAGAGTAAGGTTTTATGTTGTGGGGTTGTAACTATCCAACCGGTCGTTTTGACAGTTAGAACTCCGTTTCCCCAAATAAGACTCTCCGTATGTGTTTTTACTAATTTATAACTTGCGGGGATGGTTGGTTCGAGATTTGGAAGTGTTCAGGTTGAAATCGAAGCACTTGGTTCCTTAGTTAGCTTTAAAAAAAGGCAAGTTTGACTTCGGTCAACATTTTTAGAAAACGACCTGGAACCGGGATTTGATGGTTCCAATAGGTTCGTATGATGATTTTGGACTTGGGCGTATATTCGAACTGGGTTTTGGATGACCCGGGAATATTTCAGCGCCTATTATGGAAGTTGACATTTTGGAATGATTTCATAAATTTGGGTGGAAGTGCAATTCAGGGTTATCGATGTTCGTTTGGGATTTCGAGTTTGGGAATGGCTCCGTATGGTGATTCTGGTATTGGAAGCGCGTCCGGATGTGGATTTGGAGGTCCGTAGGTCATTTTGGGGTCATTTGGCGAAAGTTAGAAATTTGAATATTTTTGAGAAGTTTAACCGGGAGTAAACTTTTTGATATCGTGGTCGGATTCCGATTTGAAAGTTGGAGTAGGTCCGTAATGTCAATTATGACTTGTGTGCAAAATTTGAGGTCAATCGGATGTGATTTGATAAGTTTCGGCATCGATTGTAGAAGTTTGAAGGTTCAAAGTTTATTAAGTTTGAATTGGAGGGTGATTTGTAGTTTCGATGTTGTTTGGCATGATTTGAGGCCTCGACTAAGTTCGTAACGTGTTTTGGGATGTGTTGGTATATTTGGTTAAGGTCGCGAGGGTCTCAGGTGGATTCCGGATGGTAAACGGATCAAGTTTGGACTTGGAAAGAACTGCTGAAGCTCCCAGCTTCTGGTGTAACCGCACCTGCGCATGGGCAGTAGCCGCAGGTGCGAGCCACGAGCCGCAGGAGCGAAAAAGAGGAGGGGTCGTTGGGCACCGCAAATGCGTGCAAGGAACCTCACCTGCGAAGGCGCATGTGCGAAGGGGTGAAATGCAGGTGCGGAGGAAGGCATAGGTGCGGCTTATAGACTGCAGAAGCGGTCTCGTAGAAGCGAGCCGCTTACCGCAGGAGCGAGCGAAGCAGTCTAAGGGAAAGCCGCATCTGCGAGGGCATTTCCGCAGATGCGGAGACGCAGAAGCGGCTTGAGAGCCGCATGTGTGAAAATGTTGCTGGGCAGAATGGTTTAAAGGGGACGAGGCTCAGTCATTTTTAGCCCGTATTTCCTCCATTTTTGGGCGATTTTGGAGCTTTATGAGAGGGGATTTCAACTAGCAACTTGAAGGTAAGTTAATTCTACATACGTTGAGTTAAATACATAGATTATGGGTAGATTATAACCTGTAAATCTTGAAAATCAAGGGTTTAGATGAAAAACTTAAGTTTTGACAAAAATGAGATTTTAACCACGAAAATGGTTATGGAATCGGATGGAAATTGAATATTTGAGTTCTTGAGATTATGGGTAATGTTTCCTTCGAAAATATTGAGGTGAATTTTAGGAATTTACCATTTTGGATAGGGTAATTTATTTAATAGTCTAATTCCGAATTTTCAAACATGTATTAATTATATTATATAACATTTGGATAGTTTCGGATATTTCGGTACCGAATTGGGATTTTTACACGGCGTTGTGATCAGGAAGTGGGATTTAAGACAAGATAAGTCTTTTGTCTAACCTTGTAAGAGGGAATTTACCCCATAGGTAATTTAAATTAACAATTATTGCTAATTGTGGGGGCTACGTACGCACGAGGTGACGAGAGTCCGTGCGTAGCTACTAATATTGCTAAAGTCCGGGTAGTTTAGGACTCAAATCATGAATTACTTGTGATAATTGTATCCCTATTTAATTAAAGCAATAGAATTATGTTGCAAATTGTTAGAGGATATGGTAAAAGATTGAAATCTCACATACTTGAAATTTTGTTCAGCATATTTAACTGTTGTAAAAATTTGTACATCCTCATGCGTTAATCTCAAATATATA